GATGAATATGGACTTTCAGACCCTTTTGAGGGGGAGGGGGCTTATTTGAGAGGAGGGCTAGATAGAGAGAAGGGCTAGATAGAGAGAATACGGCACTGCTGATACTATAGTTGATACATGTTTGAAAACCAGGCCTTGTTATGGGGGTTCTGAGTAATCCTTAATCCTGAGCAAGTTTTAAAAATACTGTAATCTCTGTCCTTTTCCCCTAAACAAAGATATCCCACAAACTGGAACAGATCAATGATCCTATATCCTAAAATCTGGTGAAGACAGGATGGGCTTCTGAGTGACTACATTGATGGTGCAGCCTATGCAAATCACCCATTGTTTTCAAAAAATCCCAAGGCACTTCAGATAATTTTGTATTTTGATGAAGTGGAGATATGTAATCCTTTAGGATCCAAGGCCAACAAACATAAACTAGGTGAGTTAAGTTTGTATTCAATGAATGCGTAGTAAATAGAATTATACTGTACGTGGTTTGGAGGCTTATACTTACAAAACAACAGAACTCATTATTTATGTTATTGTCAAGGTTTATGCAAAAATTGGTGCCTATCTCGTCACATGCCTGTTGTATTTTTGCGTAAACAACCAAAAGCTGAATGTTGGACTCGGCTGTTCATGCATAATGGGAACAATTGGCCAAACAAGACATTGCCATGTTGGTTGATCAAAGTAAATACAATACACACGTGACAAGATAGGACCCATATTTTTGCATAAACCTACCCCAACATAGATAATGAGCAGTATATACTATTCTGTTTTCGCCGAGTCTCCAAACCATGCATTTTATTAACTGTGACTAATGGTAAATGTACATCAAACCTATAATATGGATTGCAGTATATTGCAGTATATTATGGATTGTATAATATGGATATAATGCTTGTGATGTTACTCTGAGTGTATATCCACACCGGGCAAGCTTGAAAAATATGCCTGACCACGGTGGGATTCGAACCTACAACCTTTGGAATACTAGCCCAATGCTGTGCCAACTGAGCTACGCGGTCTGGTCGGTTCGATATGTCATATATTGGAACAGAATCTAGTTCCTTCGATATCAATGTTATCTAATAATAATCATGATTTTTTTCTGTGTTGGAGTAATGTACTCAGGTGAATATGATGCTTGTGATGTTACTCTGAGTGTATATCCACACCGGGCAAGCTTGAAAAATATGCCTGACCACGGTGGGATTCGAACATCATATTCACCTGAGTACATTACTCCAACACAGAAAAAAATCATGATTATTATTAGATAACATTGATATCGAAGGAACTAGATTCTGTTACGAAATATCACATATCGAACCGACCAGACCGCGTGGCTCAGTTGGCAGAGCATTGGGCTAGTATTCCAAAGGTCATAGGTTCGAATCCCACCGAGGTCAGGCATATTTTTCAAGCTTGCCCGGTGTGGATATACTCTCAGAGTAACATCACAAGCATCATATTCACCTGAGTACATTACTCCAACACAGAAAAAAATCATGAATATGGATATATATAAAAAAATGTCAAGTGTGTATATATACAATAGCGTTTTGGTTAACAAAATGCCAAAAGAATGTAGAGAATGTTCTATTTTCCCAAAGAAACAATTCCTGTTGCTGGGTAAAACTGTGAAAGTTCTAAGGTAACCATTTCCTATATGTACAGTACATATATACCCAGTGCTGTAGCAGCTTTCCTTTGATTGGTGAGATTTTAATTTTAATTTGCGTGGTGAAAACAGCAGTTACAATTTTCCTACTTCGGAATATAGGACAAGGCAGTATTATTGGGTAGAGAGTATGCTGACGCCAAGACAGCAACCCAGCTGTACTTCTGATATTAAATACACTCGACATTTTCATTTGCATGCACTGCTCTGACTACAGTCAGTATGTACAGTAAATAATTATGTATATACATAGTCATGTACACTTTTCTCATGAATTCAATAGATGCTTTTTTGTACTATTTGCAGGGGCTTTCTATTTTACCCTTGGCAACATAAAACCAGAAAACAGGTTACATCAGAATGCCATTCAGCTTTTAGCACTGGTTACAACTCCATATCTAAAGAAATATGGTCCTGATGATATTTTAAATGAATTCATGCAGGAACTACATCAACTTGAAAGGGTAGATACATAAAGTTTCATATTTATTTGTCTCCTATACTTTGACTACACACACTGATTTCATCATCAGTTAAGTAATTATAGTAGTTAGGTGGTATGGATACTGTTAGAGTTAGTTAAAATAGTCAGGTTACTGTTAAACCTATGTCATAATTCCACAAACTAACTGATGTCTGTGTCTACAGGGATTAGAGTAAGTCTTATGTCTCAATCAATTCCATGGGTGCCCAACACCCCCCCCCCCCCGGGCGTTTGTCGGGCTTTTGTCATTTTGGCGAAAAAACGTTGCAAATGCCCCAGTATGGGGTCCAAATAATGCAACAAAATCCCCACCCTTGGGGACTTATATTGACGCAAATGCCCCACCCTTGGGGGACAAAAGATAAGTTTTCTGAGGATTTCTGATCCAAAAAATCGAATCCAAGCTCTATCACATACGAATATATCTGTATTTAAAATCGATTCTATAGCCATTTCGTTTTAAAACGTTATTAAAATATTGAAGTCTCAAAACTTTATATAGCAATATCAAACTGCAGAAGTAAGTCGATGTATCAACAGGATGGACAAGAAAAAAGTCTTGTGTTATTCCGCCATGATTAATTTGCGATACGCACGCTAGTGTAAACATGCGTACTAAAGTACGGCTAAATGGCGAAACAAGCAATAAATATTCGACTTTTAGCCTCGAGCAAATTCCCCACCCCGGGGCTAACCTGCAGAAAGCAAATGCCCGACCCTGGGAACAAGTACAGTTGAGAATGCCCGACAAACGCCCAGGGGGGGGGGGTGTTGGGCACCCATGGAATTGATTGAGACATTATAGTTGTTATTTTATTAATAGAATTGTATTTGACCTTAAAAGCACCAAGCAACAGAGGCGCCGGAGCCACGGGGGCAGCTGCCCCCCCCCTGCCCTTTGCTCTCGGGGGCAGCTTTGCCCTTTTCTCAAAGCAATTCCTAACAATTTTGCGAGCGATGTGCGAAATGTAATAAATCAATCAGAACTAATCGTTGTTGGTCGTCATTGGTAATTTTGAACTGTAGGGTTACCAGGATATTATATACTCTTATATAATTTCATATTTTCATTAATATTTTAGCACATCCTTATTTTGTTTTTAATAACGGCCCGGGGGCAACCATGAGAAAAAAAAATTTATGATTCAATGAGGGTAATGTCCTGCAGCAACTAGAAATAGCATTGTAGTAGCTATTGTGTTAATTTAAATTTTTGGCATTGATGTGTCATTTCTGTGGAATGGCTGTTTTGCTCAAAGTGCATATTTGGCAATTTTCCCACATTTCTTTTGTCTATACAATATATGGTACAGCTGTCTGCAGTGCATAAATTAGAATAATTTCAGCAGAATACCAATTTGTTATGCTGATAATGCCATTTTTTATCACATAGGATGAAGGATACCAGTTCCATATCAATGGGCATGAGCAGTCATACCAAGGGACATTAATATATTTTGCAGGTGACAACCTTGGATCTCAGTACATAGGTTAGTAACATTTCTTAGCCAAATTGCATTGAATGTTTTAATGTTTTATGATTACTTAAAATGGTCTGGCATTAGAAATACTAAATATAAATGTCACTTTTTTTGGAAGCTGTGATAGCCAAAAGCTTGGCCAAGAATTTCAATACGTACATGCATGGCCAGTATAGGTAGCGGATAACAACATCAACAAGCAGCAAAGGTTCTACTCACTACCTAAACAATACAAACAAATTAGACGTTTCGAGCAAATGCCCTTCGTTGGGAATTAGTGTGACACTTCCCGACGAAGCTAGGCCTTTGCTCGAAATGTCGAATCTGTTTGTATCATTTAGGTACTGAGTAGAACCTTTGCTGCTTGCTGGCCAGGAATTAAATTTAATTAGAGACGACGGGCTGTGGACCAGCAACTCAATTTGTCCTGTTTCCATTTCAACCAGCTCTAGCTTTCCCATACCCCGTAACCACACAAGGACAAAGCTCAGAGGACACAGCTTAAAATATGTCATGCGCTCTTTACTGCTAGATATAGCTGATGCTACTGGTATTTATATTGCTCAGCTCAATACATGTGTGTATATATGCAGTTTTTTTGTGAAAAATTGTACTGTATGTACCGTGCAAGACCAATCTATACACAACGATCAAAATGAGTGGTCAATGATTTTTAAAAACAGTTTATTGATAAGGGTTTGCATTGACCTTTCTACTGTATTCTATACAGGTGGTTTTAAAGAAGGTTCACAGTCCCATCGCAAATGTAGGGAGTGCATGTGTAACAATGATGAACTTCAAACTTTTGTGAGTATTGTAATATACAAATTATTGTCATATTAATGAAGTATTAACTCATTCATGGAATCAAGCGAATAGAGGAGCTCTTCCCCTAATGAGTAAAATCATTTAGGTATAGACAAAGTCAACTACTGGAGACACTGTATATTTTAAGCTTGAAAGAGTTATTACTAGTAATATATGAGTTTTCAGGGTGTTAGCTAGCCCATATAGTGTCCGTTTGACGGACTCTTCCCAATTGAAGTAGCTAAGGGGCTTTCCCAACTGGGTCTACTGGAAGATTTTCATTTTTTTCTGATGCGAAAGTGCACTTCGTTTGATTTTATATTATTATATCAAAGAACGTTTTATTTACTTTTTCTCATTTACTGTTTTTTCAACTGTATCGCGTTTCATTCATATTGGGTGTGTATTCACTGAAATGTACAAAACAAAATGTAATCCATCCGTGTTCATTCACAGGAAATGAAATATACAAAACAAAGTACCATCGGGTGCATTTTTCAGTGTTCATTCACCCGAAAGGAAATGTACAAAACAAAGCTACCGTTGTTTGCATCTAAGGAGAAACACGTCAGAAACAACACTATTTATTACTACACAAGCACTTTGATCGGTCAAAAAAACTTTCCCAATTTACGTTTAACGGACAAAACTTTCTTTTTCTGGCTAACACCCTGGTTTTGCAATCATGTTTTTCGGCAAATTCAAACCAAACGTGGCAAAGACTGTACTCAAGGGTCCTACATTCCACATCCTAAGGCGCATAGATTATTGCAAAACTAATCAATTAAATAAAATTGTTAAATAAGTATTAAGATGATCAATATTAAAATGTTAACATCTGGTGTAACAGTACAGAATTTATTTATTTATTTAGCCCATGGAATGTCCCTGGAGAATCAGATATTATATAATACAATATAATTCATGATCATGCACCTAGTATATACATGGTACACATAAACCATAGTCAGTGGAGTAACGTAACCTCTGGTCCCCCCCCGTCAATCAACCGGCCACTGCTGGGCCCTCTCCCCTGGCCAATAAAGAATAGACTGACGTCTGTATCTCTCTTGACAGTCGACAAAATTGCAATCTTCACTGGCATATGTTGATTTCGGAATAAGCTATATAATTACAATACCATACTTGTTCTACATAACATTCACATAAAGTACAAGTGTACGACTGTATGCTTAACTTTAATAGTAACCAGATATAAATAACTAACTACATCCATTTTATGGTTATTTTGCCAGGGGCCCAATAGAGTCGGGGGTCCCCTGTCACCCTTCCATTATGCCAGTGAACATAGTAATATGTTAAATTCTTTGTTCATTATAGTTTCATGAGCGCCATTTTGTGTTGAGGACTAGGGAGAGCTATGATCAGCAATGCATAAATATTCAACAGTCAGAGCACTTCCAGTATGTCTATGGTATTAACAGAAGATCTATATTGACCAATTCATTGTATTACCATGTGATTGGGGGCATGCCTGGCGATGCGATGCACGATGTTCTCGAAGGCGTTCTTCAGTATGAAGTTAAAGAACTGCTTCTGCAATTGATCAGAGTAAGAAAATATTTCACCTTGGAAGAACTGAACAGACGTATATCATGTTTTGACTTTGGTTACTACAATGATGCAAATAAGCCAAGCCATATTGGTGAAACCAAGTTCAACTCACCAGATCACAGCCTGAAGTTACATGGTACAGTATTTTTTTAATAATTTTAATTAATTTATACATGGTTTGGTATACATGACCATATACAATTAGTATAGGAAATTGCACGATTCAAGAATT